CCCAGCAATGCTTGCCAGTCGCCCCCCAGCTGCCGGGATCCTCTGCTCACTCTCGTTTCAAGCAGCCTTCTGCCAGCCCCTTTGCTCCCTCGAACAAGCAAGCAGCCTCTCTCTCGCGTCCAGCTCATGATGGTCCTGCGTCACTGCTCGTGATAGCCCTGCAGTCCCGCCGTCTGTCTCTGCTGCCGGCTGCTACTTGTCCTGCTGCCATCTTCGTTCCCGCGAGCTCTACAGAAACTCTTCTTGAAACACCCCGCCCTTTTCCTCTTCCATTGCAAACGGCCGGCCGACGGCGACGAGACCCTCGCCATGGTGTCCGAAGAAACGTACGAGCTGTGCCTGCACATCCTGAACAATGAGGACGACAACGAGGAGGAAAAAGCCGAGAAGCTGGAGGCCTTCCTGCGCGATCAGTCGTCCCTGGCCGGCTCCGCTCTCGAGAACGCGGTGCTCGACGTCCTCTGGCGGCACCGCAGCTCCTCCATGGCCGATGCCTCGCAGCCCCCCGTCCGGCACACAGTCATTCGCCGCTCCTCGCCCGCGCCGTGGCAGATGGCTCGCTCAGCGACGCCGCTCTCCTCCCCTTCGCACACCGGGTCCAGCCCCGTTGCCCAGTCTGGCTTCCCCGTACCCCGTGGGGGATTCCCTCGCGCGCCCAGGTCCCTGACGGCGTCTCCCTTCACCTCGCCTCGCCCGTCTCCGCGCCTGGGAAAGGTGCTGCCCATCCCGCACAGCCCCAATCTCAACACTTACTCCTTCTCAGAGCGTGGTCCTGCCCCCGAGATATACGGTGATCTCGGCAGTGACAACGTCGATTGGCTGGTCAACGAAGATGCAAAAAGCACGGCTTCTTCCACGGGCCTCAGCGCCGCTGCTCCAGAATGGGTTGCGCCGCCAGACATGAGCCCCTACGATATACTCAGATCGGTGCTGGGCAAGCGCAAGACGAACGAGGAGATCGAGCATGCCCTCGAGGCAAACGGATATGACCTGGGAGCCACAATTGCATCCCTGACTGAACAGGATCACAACCATAGCAGTAACCATGGCCACGGCCAGCACCACCTGGAGACCCGTTCTCTCTCTTCCAGCAACGAAGGCCGCGTCCTGATAGGCAAGTCTACAGCAATGGACCCTGCACGGCCCGTTACGCCATCTACCTCTGCGCGCACTCCTGTGGTCTGCAAATATTGGTTATCTACCGGCCAGTGTCTGCGCATGGACTGTCGATTTAGCCATGACCTCACCAGCCATGTCTGCAAGTATGTTTTATTCTTTATTATCTATTACCATCTCCTTATTGTCTATTACTGTCTATTTATTGTCCATACTAATTCATGCATAGATATTGGCTGATGGGCAACTGTCTGGCTGGAGACTCATGCCCTTTTTCTCATGATCCATCCTCCTTGATAGGCAGCATGAGCATCGGAAGTGACAACCTGAGCGTTGCTGGTTACTCTGCGAACAATGCCGCCGCCGCCCAGCATCAGCATCAACCGCAGCACCAACAGCAACAGCAACAGCAACAACAACAACAACAGCAACAGACCAGCCTCTACCCGCTGCAGGACAACTACGAGGCCTTTCCTCCGCTCCAGCCTCCGTCTACATCTTCATCCGCAGCCACGACTTCCAACAGCATCACCGCCGACCAGTGGCATCACCGGAGCCAGATGCAGTTCATGGCCGGCAGCCCTCAGATGCGGCCCGGCTCATCGAGCAGTATCAAGAACAAGAACATGCTGAACCCGTCGGCTACGCGTTCTCACTCGCGGCCTGGGAGCAAGCACCAGAGCCGCGAGCAGCCAGCCACCTCTGCTCCCCCAGTGGACGACCCTGAGGCGTTTCCGACGCTTCAGGCTCTCAACAGTCGTCCCGGCAAGAAACACCACGGCAAACGTGGTACGCAGCATCGAGAGGTCACCAAGGCCAGAGACGCGTCCGGCACATCATTAGCCGATGCGGTTCGCATGTCTCCTTCCGCGAAGAAGGGAGCTCAGAAGGGTGCTAGATCCTCTGCCAGTGGCACCACCAGAGAGATCAGCGCGGAGGCCCAGGCCATCCCGTCGCCCAAGCACATCCCCTGGCTCGAAACAGGCGTCGAGTGGACGCAGCCTTACTTGAAGTACCGTGTGGATGCCATCACCCACGGGAACGTGAGGAACAAATTCCTCCAAAGGTAGCTAAGCTTCCGTTCCTCTCTCACTTCTGTTGAATGTATACTGACCTCCTGTAGTGCTGCGCAGGCCTGGAACCGTAATGATGCGCGGGCCGCTAAGGCTCTGTCGCTCCGGGGCCAGGCCGAAAACGACGCTATGCGTCGTTGCCACCGAGAGGCTGCCCGGCTGCTCTTCGAAGAGGGCCGTAAGCGCATTGCCGACAACGACGACGAGTTCTACGTTGACTTGCACGGTCTAGTCCCGACCGAAGCGATCGCGTACCTCGACAACATCCTCAAGGAGAGCTCCCAGTTGCGTGAGCATTTTCTCTACGTCATCACCGGAAGTGGCCATCACAGCAAGAATGGCAAGGACAAGGTCGGCAAAGCCGTCAAGGGCTGGCTGACGGAACACAGCTATGTGTTCCGCGACTTCAGCGTGCCCGGCGAACGTGGTGGTTTCGTTGCCTTTGTGATCGGAATCAACCCTACGGCTACCGCCTCCAGTGGTCGAGATTCCCCTTCTCCCACTTCCTCTGCCGCTTCGAAATTCCAGTCTCAGACTCAGAACCAGAGTCAGAGCACCGACCAACCCACTGGAGAGATCAGCAAAGCCGTTGCTGCTGCTGCTGCTGCCGCCGTCGCAGCTAGCGCGACTACTACCGATGCAACTACTGCCAGAGATGACACCGGCGATGAGGACGGAAGCGTAACTGCAGCAGAGGCATCCTCATCTTCTCCCGAGCCTGGTCCCGTCCTCAAGATGGGCAAGATTCAGCTACTGAAGCGAGACGGAGCTGCAACCAAGGCATGACCATGACGACCAGCCTGACAACCAACCATGAGAAGCAGCCGCTCAGTTGCATGTTGATGACCACCTGCACCAATTTTATTTCTTCCTTTCTTCTTTTCAACAAGTAGCCAGGCCGATGCTACCTACATTTTAACGAACGAGATGTTTTTAACGAAAGACGCAAGCACGCCCGTACATGAATGACCATATTGCACAGCACAGACAGAGAGAAACAGGGGATGTCACCTTCCACCACGCAGACCGACCACTCGTGTACATTCCAACACTACAACTACTACCACTTTTTAATCGATGGTCCATCTATCCGACACTCTGCTGCCCAGTTTCCCAGGATTTAGGCGGAGTTTTCTCTGATATCTTATTTGTGCCCTCCTTTTTTTTTCTTTTCTTTTCTGTCTCTATGATAAGACGACATAACTTCTTCCTCTCTGCTCCAGTCTATCTTCTGAATCATCGAGCTCAGCATATCCAGTTTAGAGAGAGAGCCTTAGATCATGCAAGTGAATTGATTTTAATTGCGATATCCAGCTACATTGCTTCAAGCAGTTTCTTTACCCGTATCTACCATAAAAAGAACATTATATCGTAGACATCGTTAACATAACCCTATATACATCTACTCGGGCTCCTGATGCTTCCACCGGCCCTTGACACCCTCGACATCAATCCCACAGGCCTCAGCCTTCCTCACAATCGCCCTCGCCTTCTCTGCAACAGGGACGTCAATCATCTTCCCGTCCAACGTCCAGGCTCCCCTCCCTTGTCTCGCAGCCTTCTCGTCCGCAACAACAACCCTCACAGCCCACTCGACTTCCTTCTCCTCCGGTCCAAAAATCGCCTGCACCCTCTCAACCTGCGTCGGATGGATGCACTGCTTCCCATTGAACCCCAGCCTCTTGCCGGATCGACACTCCTCTTCTAGCACCGACATACCTCCACCGTCTTGCTTGTACGATGTGCAGACCAGGTCAATTGCAGAGGGTAGCTCATGGGCTCTGGCAGCCGTGACTATGGCGCTCCTTGCATAGAGGAATTCACTCAGCGACGGGGTACGGGTTATGCTCAGATCAAGCGCGAAGTCTTCGGCGGCGAAGATCAGGCCGGACAGGAGGGGCGTGGCGGTGCATATTTGCGAGAGATTGGTTATTGACTTTGCGCTTTCCACCAGAGCCAGTATTGATATCTGCTCTGCCGAGGAGAGCGTATGGGATATCACGTCCGATATGAAGGTGAGGTCTGAAGCAGAGTCGACTTTGGGGACTACCAGCGTCGAGAGGTTGGGAGATTTGAGCTGAGACGCCGTTAGCTAAGTACTGTGAGATGACTATGGATTGGTTGAAGATGTAGGTGTAGCTGATATAACTATGGGTTGGTTGGAGGTGTAGGCTCACCACTTCGGTCAGGTCGGCGAGGGCCAGCCCGCTGCCGACAGAGTTGATGCGTACGGCCCGCTCCTTGACGCCGGCGGGCGAAGGCAGGTCGAGAGCGGCGCGCACCAGGCGACGGGCTTCTGCTTTCTTCGAAGGGGTGACGCTGTCCTCGAGGTCGTAGGCGATGCAGTCGACGGAGAGCATCCGGGACTTGTCGAGCATGCGCTGGGACGAGCCGGGGACTAGTTAGTTAGACGGCGGTTATTTCTTCTGTCCTGATTCTGGCTGGCAGATGATGGCTGCGACTGACCGTAGAGCAGGGCCCGTCTGAGGGCGCTCTTGGTGGCCATGGTGCTGGCCTTGACTGCTGCTGCGCAATTGACGGCCGGTGGTTGTTTGATGTTCGGCAAGCAACGAGTTATCACCGAGGTCTTAGTAGTTGACTTTGGCAGTGCAGCTTAGATACGACTTGACCAGTTGGATGACCTGGCTAATTTGATATACTGAGAAGAGAGTGACAGCAGTCAGAAGAGTAATTGAATCAGTTCTAGTATTGATTTACTGAGTCGCGAAGCCTCTCGGGCAGCAGCTGTAGTGACTGGTGGAAGTGACTGGCAGCCAGCAAACATATAAAAATCCCTTTCTCTTCTTCTTCTTCTTCTTCTTCTTCTTCTTCTTCTTCCTTCCGCATCTCCCTCGCTGTTCCAGCAGGCCATAGACAATCTCTTACTCGCGGATTCCTGGTAAGTCATATCTAGCATTGATTCACTAGTTGACAATGAGAACACTGAGGCTCCTCATGAGCGAAACGTCACCGAGTCGGTCCGTCACCAACGCCGCTGGGCGATAACAAGGCAAGTTTATAAAGATGTCCTCTGCCTTGTATAGCATGTTCTAACACCCTCTCGCCCTGTAGAATTGGCAAGGCTGCATCGTCCAAGAAGCAACCAGAGAGGAGCTTTCAGGAATGGCGCGCCCGCAGCAGACATAATTTGTCGACGAAACAAAACGTCCTGGGGTTAACAGGGCAGGACTAGAGCTTTCCGAAACCCTGGAGTCAATGCAACAGCGTTTGGTTTCCGTCGAGCAGGAGCTCAAGCAGTTTCATGAAGAGACCAAGCAGTACTATGGAGAGACCAAACAGTACTATGGAGAGGCCTATAAAAACCATATCCCAACCTGGATGTTGCTTCGGGGGCCCATCTACAAGTCTCCCCACGGCGGCTCGGTCCTCGTAGATCTAGACATTCTGCGATTCCTTGCCAATAACGACGCCTCTGAGTTTGCTATGTGGGCTGGCGGGTTCGAGCTCATATACGGCATGTCGTACAGCCATGGCAAGTTCATCTCTCGCGGGTCAAAGATGGTGCGGCTGGCAGACACCCGTGCCGACCTTAAACTGCTTGACAATCAAGCCTGCCTACCAAAGTGCGACGCCATTATCAGGCTCTGGAAGGCTGCCACCGACAATGGGCAAGATCCCGAAGGCGTTTTCAGAACCCCAGCGGTTGCAGGCATGTATGATAATCTTATGCGTTCGTTTCGCTCTGCGCCGTCAAAATAAGATTCTTCCGTTGCTTCTTTTCTCTTCTCCCTGGCCTCGTAGTTCATTAATTAGAAATACTGTTTAACTAGTTAGTTAGACAGATAGGCAGGTGTGTTTAGTGAATTACTTTGGAAGTGCAGAGGCGTCATTTCAAGGTCTCGCTTGTCCCTCAATCTATATTTCGGACACCGTAATGCTGCATCGTCGACCCTGGCCTGACAGCAGGATATGAGATCAATCAGATACGTCCCCCGGATCAGCATAGGGATGTCCTCGATAGCCCTCTCCTGGAGTACACTAGTTAGGTCAACCGACGCAGGAACCCCCATGGGCCTAAAAGTATCCAAAGACTGCCCTGATGGCCATCTATAGCTGTCCAGCCAATGCAGTAGAGAAATAGACAGCAGGCAGTCCAGCTTATCCTCGGCATGCCATTATTGACAGCAAGCATCTCGCCATGAGAAGCAGGTCGTCAGATGTAGAAGCCATACCAGGCCAGGATCTCACACCCACGCCTTGCATCTTGCATCGACCAGCAGCAGCGTCCAGGGTGTATCCATCTAATAATAAGAACGACCCGCTGCCGATCAGACGGGAACTGAAAGAAGGGAAGGCTGTCTTGGGGTGGCCAGATGGCAGTCTTTCTTCCTCCTTTGGTGTCCTCGTTCGTTTGCCATCGTCGCAGTCTTCTCGATGTCTGTAGCTCTTCTTATCCGTAGGTCTTGCCGAGGCAATACGAGTTCCCCTGAGAGATCGAGAGGTCGAGATTATAATCTGGTCGACGTTATTATAGCTCAGCTGAAAGTGATATTAAGACGATGCCATGAAGCTGAGCCCTCGATCCCTGGACGAGCCCAAGGACGTCTTCCCTGCAGCTGCAACGGTCGTCTCTTTCACATGCTCCCGTCTTTGTCGAAGGAGAGGCCGAGCTGTTGGCTGTTGCGTTGCTGTTGCTGTTGCTGTTGCTGTTGGCTGTTAGATAGTTAACTACCTAGAGTAGTGATAGACGCCCTGGGATCTCGATGCTCACTAGCAGCAGCTCGGGAAGAATCAAATACGAAGCAAACATCAAGCCATCGCCAGGAGGTCTCTATATATAAGTAACCACGGCCGCCTGCTGCTGTTGATAAACCGTTTAAGTCAGTTATTATAGCATGTCGGACAGCTGGACCTGACCTCGTCGTCTCCACAGCCAGATAGTCAACTAGTTGATCGCTGTCGAACCGTCACCACCGCCGCCAGACAGCTTGACCACCATCCTGCATCGGTCGAGGAGCTGGACAGCCTGCCAGGACCGTCAGGATGGTGTCTCCTGATACCCAGCCGCCGCCGCTGAGCTGCGTGACGCTGAGCTTCCCGGCGCCCTACGTGCTGCTGGCGACCATCAACCGCCCGGCGCAGATGAACTCGCTCTCCTTCGAGGCCGCGTGGGAGATGGACCGGCTCTGGGACTGGATGGACGAGGAACCGCAGATGTGAGAGCTTTCCTACCCGCAGCCATGGCCATGAGACTGCAGCTCCTCTAACCGCTCTATCAGACGAGTCGGCATCATCACCGGTGCCGGCAAGAAGGCCTTTTGCTCCGGCATGGACATCAAGGGTTCGCACCTCTATATCTACACACACACACACACACACATATATATATATATACTAATATTCTACGTAGATCGTCTAGAGATAGAGAAACTCGATGAACTCGCCCTCGCAAAGGCCGTCGCTTACCCTCCCACCGGCTTTGCTGGACTCACTCGCCGCACCGGCAAGAAACCGATAATCGCAGCCTGCAACGGCCACGCACACGGCGGCGGCTTCGAGATCGTGCTCAACAGCGACCTCGTCATCGCTGCCGAACACGCTGACTTCAAGCTGCCCGACTCTGCTCGCGGCACAGGCGCCCTCTGCGGCGGCCTGCCCCGGCTGGCCCGCATCCTCACCCTCCAGCGAGCAATGCTGCTGGCGCTGCTGACCTACACCCTGTCCGCGCAGGAGGCCATGGAATGGGGCATTGTGCAGAAGGTGGTGCCGGCTGACGACCTGATCAAGGAGGCCGTCAAGATGGCCAGCGGGATAGCTGCCATGAGCCCCGACAGCATAATCGTCAACCGCGCCGGCATCAGGCAGGGCTGGGAGACGGCGAGCGTAGAGCATGCCTCAACGCTGATATGGGACACTTATGCAAAGAAGCTGATGCTGGGGGAGAATGCCATCGAGGGTATGCAGGCGTTCAAGGAGAAACGGCGGCCAGTGTGGAAGCCGTCGAAGTTGTGAGTAATGACAGACCGCAGTCGTTATGACAGTAAGAGGTCTACGAGGTCGCTTGTATAGTTAAGTGCCATCTGCTTCTCCTGTGCCGTATATTATCAATATCAAATTCATAGTATATAGACTCCACCATCCATAGACCGGACATAATGATAGTTGGCCCCCTTAACGCTATTCTTTGCTGGACAAATAACTACCATCACATAGAACTAGCACAAGGGGCGGCCTCTCTATCTTTTTTGCCCCTTACTTACCATTGAGCCAGGTTAGAGACTCCTGGTGGGCTCTCTTATCTGGCTGTTTGTCGCTTTAAGGCTGTTTGATACGAGCAACCTAGAAGAATGCGGAGGTATACGAAAGCCGAGGGCCACCTGCATCTTGCTGGTGATCTATAGCTAACTAGTTAACTTGTTGAATATCCAGCTGCCGGATAGCTGGCTGTAACCAACTGCTCGACACCAACTCCAGACGAGCAACATGGCTGCTCCCTTTGGCTCTCCTGTCCCCTACGCTGAGCCGCAGTGGTATTCCCGCGACTGCTCGCCTTACCACAATGAGTCTCACAGGAAGCTGCGCGCGTTCGTCCGAGACTACGTCGAGATGGAGCTGATGCCCTATGCCCACGAGTGGGAAGAGCAGGGCTTCGTTCCAGATGAAGTTCGTCCTCATCGGCCTCCTTGTATATATGTATACCCTTTTATAAGCATGTCTAACGGGGGAAACACTCACATTTTAGACCGTCAGGAGGTTTGCGAAGAATGGCTTCTACATCATAGACAGGTCTAAGCCTGAGTACATGGGTGGCATCAGCCTGCCCGCTGGTATTGCACCGGGAGAATGGGACGTCTTCCACACCCTCATCGTGGCTGATGAGCTGAACAGGTAACCAACAGAGTATCCTTAGGTATCGTTTGTGTAATACTAATGCATGTTGAACTGCTAGAGTCGGATACAGCGGGCCTGTCTGGGGTCTAAACGGGGGCAATAGCATCGGATGTCCCCCTATCATGAACTTTGGAACCGAGCAGCAGAAGCTGGAATATCTTCCCAGAGTTGCTCGTGGGGAGATACGATTCTGTCTAGGGGTCACCGAGCCAGACGGTACGCTCTATGAACTACATATACCATATATAGAGTGTCTACTAAAATTAACGTCTCTAGCCGGATCCGACGTCTCTGGGATCAAGACCGTGGCTAAGAAGGTCGGCAGCCACTACATTGTCAACGGAGCAAAGAAATGGATCACCAACGGGATCTGGGCGGACTACTGCACTGCAGCCGTCAGGACCGGCGGACCAGGCCATGGCGGTATATCCTTTCTCATCATCCCCCTAGCCGCAGAGGGAGTCACCAGGCGGCGGATGTTCAACTCTGGCGTCCACGCAAGTGGCTCTACTTTCTTGGAATTCGACGATGTGGAGGTACCTGTCGAGAATCTAATCGGCAAGGAAAACGAAGGGTTCAAGTATATCATGTCAAGTAAGTATACTCTCTGGTACCCCTATGCATTCTCTACAAGAAGAAAAAAAAAAAAAAAAAAAAAAAAAAAAAAAAAAAAAAAAAAAAAGACCCTGGCTAACATAGTATACATAGACTTCAACCCAGAACGGCTCAGCCTGGCCAGTGCCTGCATCAGACTCTCTCGCGTATGCGTAGAAGATGCCTTTAAATACTCTACCATCCGAGAGACGTTTGGCAAACCCCTACTAGCTAACCAGGTCATCAGGGCAAAAATCAGCAAGATGGGCCAGCTCATCGAGCCCTGTCAGGCATTCATGGACCAGCTAGCATATACCATCAAGACCTCCGAGCAGACGGGGCGGAAAACCGATATTGGAGGGATGACTGCCCTGCTCAAGGTCATGAGCACACGCTGCTTGGAGAAGGTGTGTAGGGAAGCCCAGCAGATTATGGGCGGAGCAGGGTATAACAAGGCCGGCAAGGGGTCAAGGATCGAAGCCATCAGTCGTGATGTTCGGGTATATGTCGTTGGCGGAGGAAGCGAGGAGATACTGCGGGATCTTTCTGTGCGAGAGGAGCTGAAACACATGCGTAAGGTCATGGAGGCTCAGAAGAGAGCTAAGATGTAATACTTTGCTTTATTCTATTTTGCTTAATATTACTATCTGCCCAAAGGTCATCCTTTGAAAATCAGTCCCATTGAAATGGTATAAGTATGATACAGGGAAACAATCGAGTACTGCAGATATAACACCAAACTCCGAGCCTTAGAAAAAGAAGTTCGTTCCCATGTGCTAATGAGCAGTATCTAATCGCCCATCCAGAAATTCTTGCAATAAGCGGTATGAATATGAATATGGATATGGGTATATATGGGTGGGGTGTTTACTGCCTGGCATTATCTGAAAATTCGTCCAAACATCCCCGTTGCAAAGTTCCCGGCAATACCGCCAGAAAGGGCATTCGAGGCAAACGAAGAAGCCTGGCTGAACCTATCACATCTTGAGAATGCCAAGGTATTGGTAATGGTGAGAATAAGAGCAATTGCTAAGAGTACTTTCGTCAGCTTGCCGGCTACATCCACCAGCCTGAGGGTGTAGTAAAACATACCGACAAGACTAAGCCAGATCACACTCTGCAGCCGGATAATGGCCAGGACAGCCAGTCCAATCCACAGTGCCGGAGTGCTGTAGAGTCCCAGCCAGAAAAATCGCTTGTCCGTAGCGCTGATGACACGGGTATTCGGGTCTGAGCTCTCAAACACCCAGTGCGATTCACCGGTCTGCATGTTGACTTCGTTCCACCACCGTAGCCCCACTAGTCGACGGCCAGCAATGTTCTTCAGGTAATAGAAATCGGCAGAGAGTAGGAGGAGGGTGATGATGAAGACGAGGATGCTGCAGGCAAACAGTAAGTATGGTTCGTTTGGATAGATGGACAGATGCAACGTCCTAGTAAGCTGTTGCGGGCAGGCAGACGTACAAGTTTTTGATGAAAAGGACTCCGAATAAGTACATGAGCAAGCTACCTAAGCAAGAATGTTAGCAATGCCGGCATCTTCTTCCCTCAAGCTGACAATGGCCGTAGATTAAGCTGGTGCCTGGGGATAGTTAGCAACTGTCCCATACCTATTCTGAATCCGAGAAAGAAGAGTAAAGTGAGCGGGTGAGCACTCAGGCGCCAGTTAAGGTCGCCTGGCATCGGCTGAGCCTGTGTCTGAGCCTGTTCCATGTTTCGATCGCCGTGTCCGAGTCTCCTGTCCGTCTGTCTGTTCGGTTCTTCTTCAGCTGCTCCAGTTCGTCCATAAGCAAAAGTCGCAAAAAGAGCCCAAGTTGGCAGTTCGTCTGGCTGCTTATGTAAGACAAACCTTGGCGTTGGTTGGTTTCTTCTTTCCAAACGTCAACGTCGACTTTTTGCGTGTTTCTTCGATATCAACTAAATTCTCGAAGGACTGGCTGGATGGCGGACGGTGAGAGAGCTGTCTATAGAGATGTACCTGATTTGGAGCAGTGATACCCAATTGTGATCCCGTTGTTGGCAGATATTGCAGCTACCTGGTGATATCAATTGCACCTCAATTGATATCAATGTTGATACAAATATGCCTAGATTGAATCGAGTATCCTATATACCGGGCCCCTCAGAGTGGTATATCTTACATTCCGTTCTAGTCTAGTAGAAGATGTCATAACTCTACTACAAATGTCATAGTAGATACCTATAAATCTACTTCAGTCTATATTAGGACGCTTATATTATCTATATAATGGACAGAGAGCCATATATATATATATATATATATATATATATGTAGCTGATGGATTTCTATATGATTCTATACGGGGTTTCTGCACACCTACCTTTGTTTCTTTGCTTGATATCCTGCAGCTAGCCGGCGTTTGTCATGGACTGGCAAACCAGGGAGCCCTCATCAGACGAATACACTGTTTCTTCACTCTATATATCAGCCTATACTCTCCTGTAGTAAAAACATAAAAGCTCCAGTAAGATGCCTAGTAGTAAGAGCCAGCTATCCTGTGGTTGCCAGGGAGACTTGTGCTAATTTGTCCTGGAAATCTCTCCTCCTGCTCTTTTCCCCTTTTATCGCGTCTCTGTAGTTTTCATCTGACAACAACAACAACAACAATAATAATAATAACAGCTTTGCTGGCTGTCCTTCTGCACACTGAGAACTGCCTCTCAGTGCTTTGCTGCTTGACCAGAGTCAGTCCTCTAGATTCCCTTCTCTTCTCTGTGAGCTCTCTTCACGCCGAGATATCGGAGCGTCAGCGGCTGTGCTGCTAGCTTATTTATTTGAAATTTTTCCCTTCTTTCCTTTTAAACCCACATTTTCCTTCTGCCAAAAACTTTTCCTCCTTCTTCTCACTCAAGAGCTTTTCCAACTGATAACTTCTGCAGACCGGAGAACTTGTCAAGGCTGCCCATCATGAGTGACTGGCAGCAGGAGGCTAGTAAGTCTTTTGTTATCCTTTCCCCGTGTCCTCGAGATCGAGGCCGTCGTCGCGGGGCTGCCTACCTTTCTTTGGTGATATCTCACACCAGGGAGCACCACGGCCATGACGAGGGGTATCAAATCCAGCTCGAAATACGTCTGGCTAACTTGTTCCTGATGCTAGCCAATGCCACCTGGAACGACGGTGGTGACGCGGGAGGTGATAAGTGGAACGATGGAGGCGATGGCTTCGGTGCTGGTGCCACCAACGACATGGCCGTTGTCGCAGCTGATGACAACGCGAATGGGGATACCTGTCGCAAGTAAGTGTGATATCAAACGACTGCCATAATTCAGCTCAATTATCTAATGACATCCTTCCTTTACAGCTGCGGACAGGCCGGCCACTTCGCTCGTGAATGTCCGGAACCGAGAAAGCCCTCTGGGGCATGTTTCAACTGTGGCCAGGAAGGGTATGACATGCTCCCATTTGATATCAAGTCTTTTTCTCTTTGGCTGACACCTTGAAAACAGTCACAACAAGAGCGACTGCCCAAACCCTCGTGTTTTCACCGGCACCTGTCGTATCTGTGAAAAGGAAGGACATCCAGCTGCTGAATGTCCTGACCGTCCCCCAGATATCTGCAAGAACTGCAAGGGAGAAGGTATAGTTTAAATCATTGCCACATGCCTACTACCATAACGTCCATCTAACCAACGATTCAGGCCACAAAACCATGGAATGCACTGAAAACCGCAAGCTTGAGCAGCATAATGTCCCTGATAAGCTCCCAGAAGAGGCTTTGGAGATCTTGAAGAAGGCTAGCAAGGAGAGAGACCTCGAAGATTTCCGTGATGTAAGTGGTCCTCTATCGGTTGTAATATGAAATTATGTTGGCTTAAACTTGAGGGTATAGGGCTTGAAAATCTACAGCAAGGCGGTTCCCCTTGCCACCTATGTTGACATTGAGAAGCTTTTGCGCGAGGAGAAGCTCAATGTCTACTTGATTGCGCTTGTAAGTAGTCATGAACCTCCTGGCTCCTGGCTGGCAGATGAATATTAATGAAAACTGTCAGGAACGAGAAATTGGCGATTGCCACACTGTTGTCAATCTCCAGGGGAAGCTCAACTGCAAGTATGTTGTGGGTCTCTACTTCAGTGATAAGCCCCAGCGTATCAACCTCAAGGAACGCTGGCCTGCCACCCCAGGGGAGAACCTCGAACGTCTTGCTGAGGCCGGTTTCCCTCTTGATCGTCAGATCCCCAAGTGCTCCAACTGTGGAAGTAAGCCAAGACTGTCATCCTCGGATTTAACAGTTATTTCACTGCTAACTTTTTGTCCTCAAGAGATGGGCCATATCATGAAGAGCTGCAAAGAGGAACTTTCTGTTGTCGAGCGTGTGGAAGTCAAGTGTGTTAACTGCAAGCAGCCAGGTCACCGTGCCCGTGACTGCAAAGAAGCCCGTGTAGATAGGTTTGCTTGCCGTAACTGCGGGTACGTAGCTTTTGCATTGAGACCTACTCTTTTGCCGCATATAATTGCTAACTCTCGGGACAGAAAGGGCGGTCATCGTTCCAACGAGTGCACTGAGCCTCGCTCTGCTGAAGGGGTTGAATGCAAACGCTGCAACGAAGGTATCATGATGAATGCTAACCCAATCCTTGCAACAAAAGGAAGAAGCTAACGCCTAGGTCTTCATAGTCGGCCACTTTGCCAATGACTGCCCTCAGGGAGGCGGTTCTCGTGCTTGCCGCAACTGCGGGTTAGTTGGCCATCTATATACTTTAACACCTGGGGTTTTACCACAACTGCTAATAATGTTGCTGGCTATAGGAGCGAGGATCATATAGCCAGAGACTGCGACCAACCTCGCAACATGGCGACTGTTACTTGCCGCAACTGCGAAGAAAGTGAGTTCCTATCCAAGGCCTATGATTATCCAACACATCTAATGGACGTTGTTAGTGGGTCATTTCAGTCGCGACTGTACCAAGAAAAAGGACTGGAGTAAGGTTAAATGCAGCTGCTGTGGAGAGAGTATGTTGAACCCCCTCCCCCTGCCTGAATTTGTGCATTTATTTGTTTTCATGACATGTATTCCCGTATATATGCTGACCACAGCAAAACCATAGTGGGCCACACCATTCGACGCTGCCCCCAGGCTGATGAAAACGGCGGCAATGTTGGAGGTTTTTATAACAATGAGACACCAGACTCAGCTGCTGTCCAAGCCGCTGGGAGTAACGTCATGGAGCCTGAAGCCACTTGGGGTGGTGGAGACACTGCTGGTTGGTAAAACCCGTGGCATCCATTCTGTCGACCGTCCATCCAACAACGATCTGAGGATTGCATCAAATGGGTGAAATTGGCTGAACCCGAGCAACACGAAGATTGACTCGAGACAAATGCGCGAATAAAAAAAACAATAATGATCAATGATGGGAGGCAACCAAAAAATAAAAATTTAAAGGGTTTAAAAAAAAATAATGAAAATTATAAAAGGACAAAAAAAGGAGGAAGCAAGATACGAGATCAGGTGAATTTGTACAACAGCAGGTTGCCAGCAGTAGTAACATCGAGTCAAGATAGCCACCCAAACGAAGACAATTTAACGCGCAAAGTACTCCGTACCCGAGTTCGTACTCTGTCGTTACCCAGCAACATATATGCAAGACGTCACGAAAGGCGCTCAGCTCTGTACATCTCCTGCAAGGGTGGCTGTATGTTGACTGCTGTGTTGGAAGTCCGCCCATGGGATCTGCTCAGCTGCTGCTTCGACGTCCAAAAAAGAAAAAACAAGGTTCACGACCGGCTTACCCAAAGAGGGAATCCCGGCCGCACGCAAAAACGGGAAGGTCAAAGCCCGGATAAAGGTATCTCCGACGGCCGCTCAGCCGAGGCCCGAAACCGCCAGGCGTTTCTTTCTTTTTCCTCCTTTTACGCCGCCGGTGCCTGAGCCGCTCCTTTTTGAGGTCATCGCGACGACGTTGGCGGTTGGCCGGAGTTCTGTGGCTTTGGTTTTTTTGGGCCCCTTCTTATTTTCGCGTGATGCAACGGGAGCATCGACAGCACCTCTAACGTCATGGCTCCCTCCACTGTGGGTTCGTGGGCGCAGGAAAACGCTCCATGTCAGGGGGTGCCAGTGGCCCTCTCTCTCGTCTGCACCCTGTGGACAGGCAGCCAACCCGCGCACCCACCGTTAGTTACACGCATAGCGTGTCGGAAAAGAAAAAGGCGCCACAAGAACTGAATCGCAGGCAGCTCAGGCGAAAAGACGCAGAGTGAACAGTACCAACATCTGCTGTCCGTTGGCTCTCCAGCCATCTGATCAATCCTACGGAGCTTCAAGCGCGGGTAAACGGGAAAAGAGCGAGAGAGGTCGGCCAACTGGGATGAGACGGGGATGGAGCCGGGTTACCCAAAAGTGGCAACCGGACAGTTCGGCGGCGGCGGCTTCAAAGAAACAAACAATCAAGGAGCGCGAGAAGAAAGCGAAGGGGGAAGACGGTAATATAAGCATTTCTTGGCTTGAGGGAGGAAGCGCCGAAAAAGCGACATCGAGAGCGGCTTTTTTACAGCGACAGGGCCTTTGACTCGACTCGCCAAGCGCAAGCGAGCTCGTTCCTCTGGTTTAGACGAGCTTCCTCGATCGAGAGATGTGACTCCTAGAGTTGCCGGTCCCACCTGGAACTTTACGGATAACCATATACTCCTAAAAGTACTCAGTACGGATACAAGAGAGGTAGTCGAGGAAGGAGTGTGTTCCTGGGAGAAATAATACGGCACCCCTGACCAGAGGTACTTTACGGCGCTTGTTCCCTCTGGAAAGATGAATACAACCCGAGCATAGGTACAGTGGAGATGGAACGACCGCTGGAACCGAATCAGCATGGACGGAGCAAAGAGTTAGCCTTGCGATGCTGTGCGTGGATGGTACATTACTCCATCAATCGAAGGCAAACTGCAGGACATATTACGGAGTACTTGGTAATTAGTCCTTCAGCTAACCCCCATACTTACTCCGTTCCCTTCCCCCTTCTTTTTTCTTTTCTTTCTTCTGCAGCTGCTCCTCCACGAGCCAGGAAAATTTCCCGTCACTAGTGGATGCTGGGGATTCCCGAAGGCAAGAATAGATGGGATCAACTCCCGATGCCCAATGAGACCGCCAACATTCCATGGAATCCATGAAACCCATGCCATGGCCGCCGTCCGCTCGTGTGTGACGGGAACTCTCCCATTCACCATGCATCCATCATTATTATTCGATCCATGCTTCAAAGGAAGCAGTATCAAAAGAAACGACGCAGAAGAAAGGGAACAAGAAAGAGAAAAAGCAATAACCCGACACACCCTTGAGGGTTTCCGAGAGTTTAGTTGACTTAGTTAGTTACGCTAAGATGAAATATGGAGACGCCTTTTCTTATCCAGCGATGTCATAGCCAGGGATCCTTCGCGGTCCATGCTGTAACCGCATCTTGCTGGCGGCTTCTCATGCGTGGATCGCCATGCTGTGTCACGCCCGAGAAGCAGAGGAAGAAGCTGGGCGAGGGCAGCGCGGCGAACGGAAGGGATGATACATTTGTTATAAAAAGGACCTCCACATCCCCCCCCCAACAGCGCAGCTTTTTATAGCTCTGCTTCCTCCTCTTCCTTTTTCTTTAATTGTTTCCTTTTCTTTCTTCCATCCGTTCTTGTTTGTTATCCCGCTGGTTTGGGGTAGTTGCTGTACGGACTGGTTGATAGTTGATACTGCGACAAGTAGCGTTGTCGTATCGTCTTTGTCCCGGAACGGACGTCCTACTATCAACGACATACTATTGACACACCACATCAACAACGGCCAGACAGCGCTAAAACAGAAGAGACCTTCAAACCATGGGCGTGGGGAGTCGGTACTTCGGCCTTCGGGGCACGAAGCTCAACATTGCCATTGGCATCATTGCCGGCCTGGATTTCTTGTAAGTTAAGCCTGGGCTTTAGGGCGCGCGAAGGCGGGTGCCGGTACTATTAAGACGACGTGATATATGCTGACTCGAGGGGACCAGGCTCTTCGGCTATGACCAGTATGAACTATCCTAGTTTCACCTATAGCTCCGGGGGGTTTTTTTCCCCCTTCAGGAAAATGATTAGAAAACATATATCTAACTTGGGTTCAGAGGTGTCATGGGCGGGCTGTTGACGCTCCATTCTTTCGAAAAAGTCTTCCCTGAAATCGCTACCAGCAACTCAGCGGTTGCAGGCTTGACCAAGGCCGAAAAGAACCACCGATCTACCATTCAGGGTACGTGTTATTATTCATTCTGTATGCGTGCCGTATCTCAATCTGATGCGTTATGCAGGTATCTCGGTTGCATCATATAACCTCGGATGTTTCGTTGGTGCAATTGCTTGTATCTGGGTCGGTGACAGACTCGGCCGTCGAAAGACCATCTGGCTGGGCTCAGTTATCATGGTCATCGGTGCTACTCTCCAGGCCTCTGCCTTTGGTCTTCCACACTTCATCGTCGGTCGTCTTGTAACCGGTGTCGGCAACGGTCTAAACACCTCCACTGTACCAACATGGCAGTCCGAATGCTCCAAATCCCACAGACGAGGACAGCTCGTCATGGTCGAAGGTGCTCTGATCACCGGAGGTATCTGTCTCAGCTACTGGCTGGACTTTGGTTTCTCCTTCCTCGAACCCAGCTCGGTCTCATGGCGGTTCCCGATTGCATTCCAGATCTTTTTTGCGCTTATCATCATGTTCGTAGTCATGGGTCTGCCAGAGTCTCCTCGATGGCTCGTTCTCAAGGGCCAAGAGGACGAAGCTATGAACGTTTTGGCTGCACTTAGCAATTTGGACAGGGAGGACCGATTTGTCCATTCGGAATTCTCCGCTATCAAGGATACGGTTATTGAGATGCAGAAGGGCAGTTTCAAGGACTTGTTTACCATGGACAAGGACCGTCACCTGCACCGTGTCATCCTTGCATACGTCAACCAGATGTTCCAGCAGATTTCCGGTATCAACCTCATCACATACTATGCCGCCACTATTTACGAAGGAAGCATTGGTCTTAGCCCGTTCCTTTCCCGAATTCTGGCAGCTTGCAACGGTACCGAGTACTTTATTGCATCCTGGATTGCCGTTTTTGTCGTTGAAAGAATTGGCCGCCGCCTGCTCATGTTGTTTGGTGCTGTGGGCATGTCCCTCTCAATGGCTGTCCTTGCCATCGCTACTAGTTTCAAGCATCAAACAGACGCCGGTATCGTCGCAGCTGTCTTCCTTTTCGTTTTCAACACTTTCTTCGCCATCGGCTGGCTCGGTATGACCTGGTTGTACCCTGCAGAAATTGTTAGTTTGCCCATTTTTCCCCGAGTTAAGTAAGCATGGAACACATGCTAATCATCCACATTTACCAGGTCCCTCTGCGAATCCGTGCTCCAGCCAACGCCTTGGCCACTTCAGGAAACTGGATCTTCAACTTCATGGTTGTCATGATCACACCCGTTTCTTTCTCCTCGATCGAATACAAAACATACATCATATTTGCAGCTATGTAAGTTTCATTCTAATTTAAAGTAATTTTTGACCCTTCATATGCTAACCACCTACTCGCAGCAATGCTTTCATCGTTCCAGTAGTCTACTTCTTCTACCCGGAGACGGCCTATCGCTCCCTTGAAGAAATGGACTCTATCTTCAGAAAGACCAAGTCTATCTTCTCTGTGGTAAAGATAGCTCGCGAAACACCAAGACGATACGGCAAGAACGGTGAAGTTCTCATCAACTATGATGAGACAGATGAGCACCGGGCTCGTGCCGGCGTCACCCAGGAGGAGACGACGGCATCATTCCCCGAGAAGAGCAATGCAAACCCAGACCATGATGCTGAAACTGGTAACTCGAATAGCCCGAGCAACCAGAGCACAGCATAGGGTTGTTTTCAAGATGGGAATGATTTTCATACTTTGTTTTACTAAACTGCAAACTTTTCCTTGAAGTTAACTCCTCTAGCCATCCACTTCTTAACGAGCATGTATGTATATGTTGTTTGCAAGATAAGAAATATATACCCCTGGTAGTATTATGATTATATACTCTAGAACTACCTATCTGTCCGTTTATAAGGCTGGTGTTTGGTATTGTGTTGCGCTAATTATCGCTATCACAACTGCTTTTATTATTTTAGCCCTGCCCTATCAACTTTCCAGTTGGCCTCCTATTAGAATTCTTTGGAAGCCGACTTGCATCTTAGTAACACAGTCATCCTACAAGAATTAGAATAGAAGCTAGGTTCAATATGAATAGAGACCACACTCGTTTATTTACAGTGATCCTACAAAATGCTAAATTTAGTTATAACATACGTAGTAATATTGTTGATTATATTATATAGGTTATCTGGCTAAACTGGCATATTGGTGGTGCAGCATAGCTCCCACGGCATTGTGTAACAATGTACGTAATTAAACCGCCTTTAACATAGGGCCCCTGTCTTATCAGCAGTAGGGAGGAGCGTCTTTGCGGCCCTATGAGCAATCTTCAACAGAATGTAGCCTGAAATGAGAGCTGCAGTAGGAAACGAGGTTGAGCTCTGGACCACTCCCCTGCCCGTCTATACTTGATATTAGAAGCCGATTCTAACTCTGGCTACCTCTAAAACGAAGAAGACGGTGGAATGATAGTCGATACTAAGCGGTCACTTGCAAAGGTGAGCAGCTAAGTACCAGCCACAATCGTGGTGTCCAACACTGCAGGGCATGGGGTAAAGTAAAAGCAGCGGAAAGGACAAGAGCCAAGGAACGTAAAATGTGCATGCTGACTGTTCTTTGGTTGAGCATGACTGTATTTTGATATTGACACGTTGGAGTTTGATAACACAGAAGGATCCTTGTAGACTTTTAAGAACTCGTAGCAGGCACTTATATATGCGGTGTGAATTCGCTCCTGTGAGCAACTAGTCATAGGTAAAACTATTCCGTCTGTTGAAGCTGCTGCTTTTGCCCTATAGGCGTCCACTACTAGACTCTGACCTTCTTTATGTCGATTGTTCCAGCTTTCGGTGTGTCTAGTCGATGTCGTAGATTTCTGGAAATATCATTTAAAACTGAAACTACGAATTGCTGGTTTTGAATACCGTAATATACCATGGGAAGAGAGAGAATATAGTGATCTCTGTTTGAGCGAAGCTTAGCCTTGTACAAGCACATGGTACTAAGGATGGATGCCTTAGCTGAAAATTGGATATAGTGATAAATATAGAAATTATGCATATAATATTGAGAGCGCATGCACCAGATGCTTTCTGGTGACAGAGATAAAGGCTGCGAAGTGTTTTCCCCAAGGTTACCTTCTGCAGTATAACCTTCCGAAGATGAACGCATCTTTTGATCTCTTCATCGAGTTGTCCGCCGTCGTAATATTTTTTATCTGTCTTGACCTCCAGGTTCAGTTGCTGAATAAGCAGATAATGATACTACCTCGGTAAAACTGGCCAATGGCCTTCTTTGCGCTTGCTAGCTACGCCTAGTTAAGCGCCCCGGCTTCCTGCCATCGAGCAACAGCAACTGCTGCCAATTGATTGATCAAACTGCCTGGGCTTATTATTCCAGGTTGTAGTAAGATAAAGAATATTCATTCAGCTGTATCGAGTATATCCAAAACCGAACTAGACGCCAGGCTCGGCACAAGGCACAATGAAGGAAGAACAAACATTAAGGCGCTCAGATGAAAGCAGCATAAGAGATTCATAAGGACATTCACACGTAGCACTTGATATTAGTATGTGGAACAAAATTGGAAATGCAGGGATACAGGGATAACGCTGGAAGACAAGAGTCGGGAGGTGCATTGTGTGTAGATATAAAGTTATCGAAGTAAAAGCAAGGCCGGCTCAAACACATTACTTTGTACTAGATGTCAGTTATTAATTGTCATTAATACCAAGGAAGATCGGCTTCCTCGATTTTGGTACAAGTCAGATAGGTCACTGTTGGCCAGGAAGATGACGTGTCGCCATCGCCGTTAGCGCTCTTCAAGTCCAGCTCGAGAAAGTTGCGCATTAGTGGCTTCACGATTTCCTTCGCTAGGCGCTTTAGCTCGTTTATTTTGCTTTCCAGTCTCTTGAGGTTTTCGCGAGAATAGGACGTTGGGTGGAGTTTGAGGAAGCGTTTAATTTCATCGTGATTCAAGTACGCCTGCGAGTTGGAAGACCCGACGAGTCTGTATGTTCGGCCAATACAGAAAGGGGCTTGTGGTTTGGTATCGACATCGACCTTGTTGGCTGCTGAATATCCAGTAGAAGGACGGGCGTTGGCAGTGGAAGGACGAGCGGTTGAAGGACGCGCGGCGACTGTTTGATTAGTTACTCGACGCGAGGCAGTTGAATTCGAAGGATTAAGCTGTCGACTGCCGCTGCTGCTGCTTCCACCGCTGTGGGATACGTTGCGTGTAGATGCCGAGGGATTGGCGCTTCTACCATCCCGTTGTGTAGATGTAGGAGGCGCCGGGAATTTTAATATTGTAGGCGGAGGCGGAGTGGTATTTTCAACCAACCACTGTCGGAATAGAGAGACGGCGAGCCAGTCCAAATAGTTGTTGAAGGGAGTAATACGCTCACCGCGTGAGGTGGTCAGAGTCAAGTGGAAGAGCTTTGACTCCACCCTTCTGATCTCGTCCTTGAGGTCTTCCACTTTGTCTTCTATCAAGTCCAGTACTGCTTCGGGAAGTGGTGATTTGTGATCCCTTCCAACTAACGGCTGGGAAACGGGCCAGTCGCCGACGATATGGATAAGAGCCTCTGTAAAAATAACACGACTGCGAGCCTGATAGCCAAGTTTGATATAACTTGCGGGAAATTTCGCAATATGTTTGTAAAGGGAAGAAGAGAAGCGCAGTAAGTGATAGTCCACTCGAGGGCCGGTAACAGTCAGGGCATCGTACATATCAGCGAGCGCAATTAGTGATTTACACTGGGAGTACGCTATGGTGATATTGTGTGGGTTTAACTGTGGCGCGTAGTTGTAGAATATTCGGAAGAGGTTGTCATAGTCACGAATTGTAGGATCGACGGGTATGCTCTCCTCAGATTGCGTTGCCAGAGGCAGGTGAAGAGCAGACTGGATTCCTGTCAGATTGGCCATGGATCGAAAGAAGCCCTGCTGGGGAGGCACAGGCTTGTTTCGAGTTGGTAACGGCGGATGAGTCTGCTGTGCTGTCGACCCAAACACTGACTTGCTCTTACTTGGAGGCTGTTTAGCCTGTTAGCAGTGTTTATAGTACATTGTTGGGGGTCAAAAGCAGCGTAGAGCATACCTTTTGCACGAGAATTGGCACTTCATCCCCTTCCCTATTCTCCCAATCCAGCTCGTACCTCCATCTGGTCTTTACTGGCGGAATGCCATTTCGAAGCGTCAATGGCCGCCGAGTCTCGTTATCGTCTTCCTCCTCGTCGCGCTTCTCACCACGCTCCGGCGCGACCTCGTGCCCCGGCAGATCGGCTGCGTCTCCCCCAGGCCGAATCGAGGTGCTGGCTGAGATGGCCGCAGTGATCTCCCGCTGTGCCTGGACGCTCGACCACTCGTCACTCGTCGAAGCTTCGAAAAAACCCGAGTTCTGCGCCAATATCAGACGATGCAAGAGGTACCGACGTTCCTGATCTGCAGCGCGAATCACAATCTCCACATCACCGGTGGTTGAGAAGACGGGGAACTCGTTAAGCGGCTGGTGAGACGAACCGCCGGCATGAGAGCGGCTGGGAAACCGATGATGGCGTCTCGAGCGGCGCGACGAAGTCACAGAGGAAGCACCGCGGGATGTAGCCGTGGACGGTTCCATGGCCGTCGGTTGCGAAACCATGGGTAAAAGCGAAGCTCGTCCTTTTTTTTTTCTTTTCTCTTTAATTTGTTCTTCCTCGTGTTTAGACGTATTATTCCAAGCCAACAAACGGCCGTGCTGGCGATCAAGAGGCCCGTCTCAGTGGGCGAATTCGAGCATGTTCTGAGCAGAGCCGTGGGCGTAAATATAGCTAGCTCGCAGAGGGCAGACGAGAGCACCCCTTCCTGTCTCTTCCCAAGCTCGCCGTATAGACGGTATTTGCTGCTCTTCTTCGTCAAGAAGACGGGATATCCCCAATATAAGGGCTGACTTTTGGCGCCGGCCAGTCAGTCAGCCAGTCAGTCTACTGCTGCTGTTGTTGTGGGAGCAGGAGGAGGTCGAGATAACTTGAAACCAGCGACTGAGACGGCGAAACGGAGTCGCGTAACTGGGATTGCCTCCGGGGGGCCGCCAGGGGGGTCTCGACTATGCAGGACAAGAGCAACCAGTCAAGGGGAAAACAGGGCGAGAGGCCTGCCCATCGCTGCTGGTCTGTCACGGCGCTTGCTTGAGGTCGATGTTTTGGATGAGGCTGTGCAGCGTCTGAGGTCGCCGGCCCTCGCAAAATGCTGGCGAAAATGCGGCCTGGCGACCAGATCGCCCGTTATTATATAGTTACATAGTTACAGCAACGCAGCCAGACTCATATGATCAGACGGAAAGCCGCACGGTCGAGGCATGGCTGCGAGGGAGAGGCACAGCTGAAGAGCTCCTCGAGGCTGCGGCGCAGCGTCGAATCGCAGTCGTGAATCCAGTCTTTGCAGGGGAAGCCGCTCCACAGGGAGGCAAAGACGGCCTATAAAAACCGGCAGTGGCTGCATCTCAGGGCGTTTCCTTGCCTTAGCCTCATGCAGTCTCAGCAGGCATCGTCCAGGTAGTCGAGGCAGTTGGTTATTCACATGAACGAGAGTTTGATACATCGCTGCAGGAGTGAAGCAAGGTGCGCTTGTTGGCGATGTGATATCAAATAACCACCGTTTTACACACGGGAAGAACCCAAGAGGAGAGAGATGGATATTTATTCTGCAGGATAGGTA